TGCAACTGAGAAGTTAACCACAGATGATGGAAGTGGTGCAGCAAGTGAAGAGTTATACAGAAGTATGGTGGGAAGTCTCTTATATCTCACTACAACCAGGCCTGATGTTATGTATGCTTCCAGTCTGTTAGCCAGATTTATGCACTGCCCTACCAGTAAGCATGTTGGAACTGTTAAAAGAGTGCTAAGATACATTAAGGGCACACTAGATTATGGTCTGGAATATGTGAAGGGTAAGAACTCAATGTTAATTGGGTTCTGTGACAGTGACTGGAGTGGATCAATTGAGGACAGTAAAAGTACTTCTGGTTATGCTTTCTCCTTTGGCAGTGGAGTATTCTCATGGGCATCTGTGAAGCAAAATTGTGTAGCTCTTTCCACTGCAGAAGCAGAGTACATCAGTGCTTCAGAAGCAACTACTCAAGCCATTTGGTTGAGATTTGTTCTTGAAGACTTTGGTGAATTTCAAACCGAAGCCACTCCAGTGCACTGTGACAACACCTCAGCAATTGCAATCACCAAGAACTCTGTGTTCCATCAAAAGACCAAACACATTAACAGAAGATACCATTTCATCAAGGATGCACTGAAGGATGGCATCATTGATCTGGTGTGTACTGTCCAACTAATGAGCAACTAGCTGATATCTTCACAAAACCTCTGCCTAAAGATCGGTTTAATTATCTCAGGAGCATGCTTGGAGTGAAATCAGCTCAAGACTTAAAGGGGAGTGTTGAATTATAAGTCTCTAGCTGATTGAGTATTAGAAATAAGATGAGTTTAATGTGTGTACTCACTTGAGCATATCTGCCAAGTGTAAAGTTAAATGATGTAAGGCCATGAGTGCCATGTGGTGTTTGATCCATGTAATTAGGTAGATGAGTGACTAAGATTAAAAATAGTGTTTTGTGTGGTCCTAAAGCTAAGGCCATCAGAAAAATGTAAAGCAGTGTTAGTGCGCATTTTTCAGTGTAGTACAAAATATTCCTCTGCAATACTTTTGCAAGAGTGAACAAGAAAGAAAACTTTTCGGTTCAACTTCTTCCATCTTTGCTTTGCTTCTGTTCAGCATTCTGAAAATAAACCCAGCTAAATCAAGTTACACTAACAATAATGGCAATTCATGTAATTTTTGAATTTTAGAAAGAGGATAGTGGGGCACGGCACCAAAATTATAGAAAATGTTGTAGGCATAATTTACTGAATCATATAAAGGATAGAGAGGGGGTGCGGCATGGTAGAGAGAAAGAAAGAGATGTGTAATTGTAAGATGTATTCTATTCCTCCAAATTGTGCCTTTGTTTATAGTAGTAGGGAAGGTAAATTCCTTACCCTAATAGGATTACAACTCTATTAGGATAATATCTAACCTTAGAGAATATTCCAAGATATCCTAGATACAGTAGGATTTACACAATCACATTCCTAATCTAATAGGACTACAACACTCCCCCTTGAGTGTGTAAATACTCAAACAAATGATGCATCAGGTCTTCAGTGATGAAGTAAGTACAGTTGATGAAGTCGTCGGCACAATAAGCAAATGAGAGTCTCAGATCAACAGAAGAATGCATAAAAGAGACATAGTGGGCAACGTCCACGCAAACTCGCGTCATTCTACAGGAACATTGATGTTTTTATCTCCCCTAACGATGGGAAAACTGTCTCATTGAAGTGACAATCTGTAAATGAGAGTTAAAGAGATCGATTGCAAGGGCTATAAGAGAGCTAGTGTGAAGGAGAATCGTAATCGACAAAGATTCACAACTTTATGGGAGAACCCATATTGGTACGTTGTGGCAGCGCAACTTGGCACATGGAATGAACACCCAAATGCGTAAATACAAAACGTCAGGTTCGTACTTAGTAACCAATTGTAATGTCGAAATTGTTGGGTGGTAATGAGCCTCAAGGCAGACCAACATAAATGCTTACAAGATTGCATAGCCTTAGGCAGAAATTGAAAGCCTGGTGAGTTCACCAAGGTTCGGGTAATTATTGAAATTGCGCTTTATGATCACTTTGCAAGGCTCTTTGGGGTGAACATGGGAATTCGATGTTCAATCATAAACCCAAAAGACATGCAATACTTATCGAAAACCTTCGATATAAACTCTCCAGCATTATTCAGTCTTCCAGACTTTATAGGATAAGTAGGGTGGTGAACCCTTAAAATTGGCAGGAGGTTTAGTAGCAACATGTGTGGACAAACATATGACCAGTTCGCCGATTCATCAACCAAAATCATAAGTATTTATATGGTCCGCATTTTGGTTGGATTAGTCCACATATATTCTATTGAATCCACTGTGAAAAGAGAGTCGTTTTGTATCTTTGAGAGGAATGATATAGAAATCAAATTTCCCAAACTAGCGGGCTTGGCAAAGTGTGCTTGTAGACACAAGATCCTTACTTCGGGTAAAGAGATACGTCGTGGCATCATTGTTCAACCTAAGTGTCCCAAATGGTCGTGTCAAAACAAGTAAACTGCTCAATCGCCCGGCTCTAGGCCGGCCACATGTGGCATGTTTCCAGTTGGGAGACAACCTATTTGCCCCAGATCAAAGCTTTAGGCTCATTTTTGGAGGTGGTACAAAGATATTCCACTCTATTTTCCATCAGTTGTTTCATTCATGATCATTGTTCTCTCGAATATCCTTAAAACTCAACGACGTTCTTCTGGAATAGGGAGAATATAAGGTCTCTTAAATGGTAATTTAGTACCATTCATACAACAAGGAGCGTGCCAATGCTCTTAATTAGGTTAGGTAGACTTGAAGTCGTTGTTAGAGATGTGATTTAGGTATAAAGTTACTGTGTGTAGTATCGCATTCATCCAAACAACTAACTTTCCCACATTCCTACCTAATCGCGTGTTTAATTGAATTTGGTCGCATGTATTAAGAAATATGATTCAATTAACTCATATTCGAGGACAATATCGATAAGATTATCCATAACTAAAACAAACACCAAATGTGAATCTAAGAATAGAAAAAAATGTTCACAAAGTAAATGGTTTACTAAGGGGATTCAGCCAACAAGGCCATCCATGTCAAAATTTTGCTTTTCCAACGATGTTTAGTGGTGCAAAATTAGTTTCACGTATTAACTATGATAATGGTACCCGTCAAAGACATTGGTACAGGTACGAACATGTCATAACCAATGATCTATTCCATCGAGACAGAAGTAGATTCTGCAGGGTTGAGGTTTGGGAATATTATCCCTTGTTTTTGAAGTTTTAGGTCTTAGGTGCCAAGGATCACGTTTCGGGCATGATGCCACACCTTGGCAGGTCCTGAATCTACCATATGTTGTAAAAACAAACTCGAAATTGGGATTGTGAGAGAGACAGACCCAAACTAGGGTTCGGTAGGCCTCTGCCAAAGCAAAGCAATACCGTTTAATAGACTCCAGCCGAGCTGGGTTTATACTATTCGGTAAACTGTAGCTGAGGCTACATCTATTTTTCTCACATTTATGGTAGTAATCAGATTCGAGAATTTGGTAAACTTCTACTCTCTACACTGCTGCTTCAGGATCAAGTTAGAAACATGAAATGACGAGAAAAATATACTCTAGTCAAAATTCGATCGGATTTATAAACTTCAGAATCGTACTCATTCATGGACGTAATCATGGTGTGCTTTAAGCAATATCTTACATGATTAGATGGTCTGTAGGAGGGAGCCAAAAAGCCATGGAATCCTCGTTCGAGAGGTACTTCCGTGGGTAATGCTTCGGGCATAAGTCTTCAAATGAAGATCATGGCGGAACCTTATTCTTCTTTTTCATGTCATTGTTGGCTTCAATGGTTTCTAAGTTTCTTGATAGTCAAGTGGAGATTTACTTCTTGTACCCCACATAAAGTAGTTTCTATTAGAAACGTCCAAATTAGGAAAATCAAACTTGTGAGAGTACGACAATCCACTGAATGGAGGAAACAAGATTGTGATTGGTGCTATGCGAGTGAATTATCTATAAGCATCAAAGTTAGAACATTCGTGTTCCAAGACATGGTTTTCATGAAAAACATCGGGTTTTCATGGGTGTATTTGTTTTATGAAAATTTCGGGTTTCAAAGGCACTAAATTTGAAACTACAGGTTCTATATAGTTATGAATGTTCGGTTCATATATAGGGGTACTTGCAAGAACACAGAAGACAATATACAATAAGGTGTAGTGAATTTGTGGATTGCTTCATGAACCCAACTGTGAGTGCATCGGGACTACGAAAGCTAGTCAACGGTTTAAAGGAACGAAATCATTTATTGAATCGTTAATTGTCAAAAAGTGAAATTCAGATCAATAAAAATTATTAGATTAATGGACTGCTAGTTACTTTAATTAATTTAATAGATCGGGACCATACAGGGTTGAATGTGGAAGGAAAAATAATAATAACATTCTGGTTAAAATTATAGCCCAATCTCGATAGGCTTGGGTGTCGTGTGCGGGGCAAGGCCCCAAAGGGGTTTATTGGGCCACGGGTTGTAGGGGTGGGCACGGGCCAGGTCAGGCCCAAATTTGGAAGGATCGGACCGGACCTGTTTAAAAATCTAACGGGGTGGGGCGGGTATAGCAATTTTGAGTTTTGGAACCGAACATAACCCGGCCCATTTAAAACGGGCCGATTAGGGACTGGTCCACGGGTCCAATTACTTTTTTTTTTCTTAATTTTTTTTTGGTGAATTTTCCTCTGAAATGCAACAAAGAAAACCTTTGATGAAAAACAAATCTGGAAAGTTCTTGCCATAGAGGAAGGAGACGAACAGGATGAAGGCAAGGAGGGTGAAGCGGTAGGGAGAAAGTCCGAGGAGATCTGATTAAAATTAACAAAAAACACAGAGAAATTCATTAAGTTCGAGTCTTTTCCCAAAGAAACTCAAATCCCAGCAAATAAATTTGGAATGTTTGAGATCTGATAGAACATTAAAAACAAAGAAACTCAAATCCCAGCAAAATACAGAACCTAAGCGAAAACGAAGTCTGTAATCCAATACCAACCATATACTTCATCCTTTGTAATACAAACATTTAACAAACAAAGGGTCAACATTATCACCTCTGCTACAACTCCCAATTCCACTCAAGAAAGGCAAAAAACCGGAGCTAACTTTCAGATTAACCCCACAAAACCAAACGGTTCAAAACACTAAATTTCACATATTTTTCATAAAACCCATTACTATAAACACAAATTTATGCAATATTTTGCAATTCATTTTAGTAAATTTTCAATTCACAAGTCAACAAACCAAAAATTAGGCAATGAATGTGCCCAAACCGAGTGAAAAATACCACCGCTAAGCATGAGAGAGAAGCTGAACTACAATGTGGCCTCCAATAAGCACCACCAATAAGCCCTTGCATAGTTGTGTGAATCCAGAGAACACACCTGCGCTCTGCAACATCTGGAGTAAAAAATTCGAATTGAAACCCGCAAATCGGAAGAAAATTGAAGAAAAATTGAAAGCTTTACCCATGAGAGTGATGGAGTGCTCATGGCGGGCGAGCGGACGGGCAGTTTGGCTGGTGGGTTTACGACGACGATGTGAGATCGGAGAATTAGACTTTGGGTGGAAGAAAGGTACGGATCGTATAGGTTGCGAATGGGCAAGAAACATAAGTGAAGGTTGTTGAAGATGAGAGAATCGAGCCAGCGGGATGTCGTCGAAGAGGATGGGTGGTGCCGTCGTGTTGGTCGCGGCGACGGAGGAGAAGATGACTGAGAGTTGGGCTCGAGGGACGGACGGTGTGGAGTGAGAGTGACTGATTCTGGAATTAGGAGTGGACTCGGGAAGAAGGATGACTAGGGTAAAATCTAACGGTGTGGATTGGATGATAGTTTATCATTCAACCTTGTCCGTCCATGGCAATTAAAAACGGGCCAGTTCGGGTACCTGTTTTTCTATACTTCTAAAACCGGCCCGCCCCACCCCGCCCCATTTCTCTTTTTAAAAATTAGGAACTGGCCCATACCCACCCCGAACCTTGATTACCCACCCCGACCCGTGATTCCTATACCCGTTTGCCCACCCCTAATGGGTTGGTTGCAGAGCAGCCCAATCATGGTTGCTGGCCATGAGCCGTGCGTCTGGGACAGGCCTAACAACAAAGTTGTTGGTTTATAGGCCACATAAGATGCGGGTGCATAGGCCCAGCAAGGAGCTGGCCTGAGATGGGTGTGTGCGAAGCCTAGCGAGAGCTGGTTTCGTTGTGGGTCTGTTCTAGGCAAGCCCAGCCACATGGGCTGGATTTGGTGATCGCGGGTCGAGACAGATGGCGAGCCCAGCAAAGTCTAGGCCTGGTTGTAGTGCAGTGGCAGTAAACCCATGGCGCTGCTGCGAGAGGTCTATGGCGTCAAAACGACGCCGTTCTAGCTGTGAAGTGGCTGTAGGCCAGACAGTGTGGCTCGGCGGTGCGGCGTGGAGCTGCGAAAAATCCCATATTTTTTTTTTCGAATTCTAGGGTTAAAAATCCTAATTGTTTCTAAATTAATTTTGATGCTTTGAGTCACAAATTTCATATAACATAATTGCATTTTGCATGAACAAATATATATATTGACAAAATATATGAACACATATGCAATATATATAATTGAAAGGAAAATATAAATATAGGGGGTTCATGCATCATGGGGAATATTTTCATGCTTCAAGGTTGTTTCAAATATCTTAATTTATTTTAAGCGTACCTGATTGACAGAAAATAACAAAAGCCTTTGAATTTGTAGAAGATCATTCTCGAAAAGCCAGAATTGCATCTCCAATGCATTGTATCACGTTCAACAAAGAAAATTGAATCAATAGCATGTAGATCCATTTAATAAAAGAATAAATTAATCATAAAAAGAATGATTAAAATGTAATACTCGCCTGATTGAAGAATAAACTCTCTTTAGCGTAACATCAAGAGCGTGCTAATAACGTGTTGTATGCCTAATTTACCGAATCATATAAAGGGGAGAGAGAGAGGGGGTGCGGCATAGTAGAGAAAAAGAGAGAGATGTGTAATTGTGAGGTGTATTCTATTCCATCTCATTGTGCCTTTATTTATAGTAGTAGGGAAAGTAAATTTCTTATCCTAATAAGATTACAACTCTAATAGGATAATATCTAACCTTAGAGAATATTCCAAGATATTCCTATATACATTAGGATTTACACAATCACATTCCTAATCTAATAGGACTGCAACAGAAAGTAGTTTAATAAAAAAAATCTAAAGGCTAAGGATGTTTGGTCTAACAAATTTAAAAATAAGCATCAAAATTCCCCTAATAATAACTACAAACAACACAACAATACTTAAAAAATAATAAAAGCACTAAAAACAATAAAAAAGAAAAAAAAATAAATCAAGCATGCCAGTTCTAACCATGTCATGTTTTTACTTTTAAAGTTGGAAGTAATATGGCTTATTAATTGATTTTCCTTAGTTTTACTTTACCTTTTGAGACAGGTTTTATCTCACTTTGTCTCATAAAATTGTCAATTTCGTCTCATTTAATCTCATTTCATCCTATTTTCGTCCATTCCGTAAAAAAAAAAACTAAATTAAAGGGTAGTATGGACATTTTATTTTTGAGACAACTCTTGCCTCCAACTTGCCTGCTAAAACAATCCTAATTCCATTTTCGATAACTTTAATTCAAAGCCCAGTCTGTCTCTCTTGTGGATTGGTGTGAAGTTGTAGCTACATACGATGGTAAAAGCAGAAATGGGTTGCATGTGTTTCAAAGCAAATAATGAGTTGTGTTTCAAAATCTGATTCAAGCCACCCATTGAATCCAATGGTTGCAACTACAGCTCCGTATCAATATGCAAGAGAGACAGACATGAGTTTGAATTAGAGTTATCAAAATAAAATTGGGACTGTTTTAGCAGCCAAGTTGGAGACAAAGAGTTGTTTCAAAAATAAAATGTCCATGATACTTTTTAATTTAACATTTACTTGACGGAATAGACGAAAATGAGGTGAACGGAGATTAAATGAGACGAAATTGACAGTTATATGGGGCATAGTGAGACAAAGCTAGTACCACGGAGTAAAGTGAGACTAAATAGCAATTATAGGGGCAAATCAATTAATAAGCCTATTAGGAATGCAAAGTTATTTCTCCTTATAAGTTAAAAGAAAAATAAATTAATCGTAATAATAATTCGACACAACTCGACTTATTATTTTCCCCACGGAGTCTGCGCGTAAAATGAAGGAGAACTGAAGACATACAAATTATAAAGTAGAGATGTAACCAAGAGTAAAAAAACCTTGGACTCAATTGTTAGTAGCTAATTTACTTTAACCCCCAAGTCACCATCATACAAAATAAGTTGGTTCTATCTACACACTCATTTTTACTTTTTACATACTCTTTGTTAATTTTGTCATCTTCTTTAATTCATTCGATTAAAAGACTGAAATTGAAACTGATGTGTGGATAGTACCATCATAAAATATTCACAAATAATTTTTTTTTTCTGATACACAAATATTATTAATTAACAAATATAATAAAGATTAAAGAGGTCCACTATTACACAGAGATGGCTACAAACTAGACGGTAAGCACGTGAAAACCTAAAATTCAAACCCTAGCACGTGAAAGCCTAAAATTCAAACCCTAGCACGTGAAAGCCTAAAATTCAAACCCTATTATTAGACACTTGCGCGGGACGACCATACTAATTTATCTATCTTATACTATTTTTTTTTTTTTTTCAGATTAACAGTGACTCGGCAAATGACTCTAATTCAAGTTGATTTTGATGATCATGATGATGGTCTATCTTCAGAAGCGCCTGTAGATATTCTTCATATAGATTTTCAAGCGTATGATCATCACCGCCATCAGCTGAAGAATTAATAGGATCATGATCTTGATCTTCATCACCAACACAAAACACAAGCCCACCATTATTACACCAAGTATTAACACCAAAACCTCCTCCTCCTCCTCCTCTCCCCCCCCCTCCGTTTAAGTCTTGGCTTGAAGACCCAGTAGTAACTGTAGTACTACTAGTAAAACTGTCATTTCTTGGTAGGGATAAAAAGGAAGTAAACCTAGTAGGTTTTGGGAGATGAACCTTAGGCTTTTGTGGCTCCACATGTTGGGCAGTTTTATTGTTCTTGTCTTTCGTCATCACCATCTCCTTCTTATTGTTGTTGCTCTTGCTTCTTTGGTTCTTTCTCCTTTTATTTTCCCTGGCTATCGGCTCAGATAATTTTTTGTGGGTGTTTGGGTCGGTGCCTTCGTTTCTGAGTCTTTTGCTAAGATGGGTGTTCCAGTAGTTCTTGATCTCATTATCGGTTCGACCCGGAAGCCTACCGGCGATGAGAGACCAACGGTTGCCAAGAAGTGAATGTAGTCTGATAATTAGGTCATCTTCATCGGGGGTTATGTTGCCTCTCTTTATGTCTGGTCTTAGATAGTTCATCCACCTTAGCCTGCAACTCTTCCCACACCTGAGGAGGCCTATTTTGACCCAAAAAAATGTAGGATAAAAAAAATTGTACCAACAAATGAAAAAACAAATTACAGAACAATGAGGACCATGAATAATTCATGATACGTAAGAAATTATATAACAATGTGGAAAATGAGCAATAACATAATTATGTATACCAGCTTTTTTTGGCAAGGATCTCCAATGGCCTTCACCATGAGCTTCAATATACTTGGTGAGTAATGTGTCTTCTCTAGGAGTCCATGGACCTCTATGCAAACCAACCTTGGAACAACAAGGAGCCCTTCCCATGATTCACTCTATCTAACTAGATCTCTTTTTTCTCAAGAATATGAATATTTAGAACTAGTGTGGGCATAAGAGGGAAAGCACCGGAAACAAGAGGACTCTGATGCTCTGTAGAGCACAAAGGATTCTTACACCTTGTACCCCTTTTTATTTGTTGGGCGTGCTTACGTGTGTTAAGAAGGAATAAATAAAGACTTTTAAAGAAAAAATGATAATTTTATAAGTATTATTTTCATATAGGAAAAATGTACATCTCTTATTAATTATCTGCCGATCAACATATATTTACACACACACATATATATATATATATACACACACTCAACGTCTTTATATTACTAGACTGCAATATATTTATATAAATATACACGCAAGGTCTTTATATTACTAGACTACAAATATGAATCATTGATCAAATTATTCTTGTATGAACGCGTAGTCTGGATTATAATTAATCTTCAATCACAAATTTTTATTTGACGATATAAGTCCAATTTGATCATTACTCTAACATCATGTATATAATGATGAAAGTTATCTAATATATGGATCCAACTTGTTGCCAACACACATCAAATGTTGAGGTGCATGAAAGTTAATAAACATTTTAGTCCAATGTGATCAAATGGTTTAAAATATGTTCTTATTAAAACATTTATTTATGAACGTTCTATAAAAACAAGAAACGATTACTTTATTTTTTAATATAAAATATGTGTGCTAATTAATACAACATAACAAGCCAATAATTGTTTTTGAGATGCTTACATGAATTTTGCCAATTTACGTTTGTGCACGTAACTCAACGGTCCTTCTTGCTATCTGCCCTTCTCGTGCATGCAGCTTGAATGCATGCTGCATTTTTCCATAAAGGACCACATCACTAGTACGATTGTGTTCGATTTTAAAATTGCTACCATATAATTACCGCATAGGAACCCATATGTTTTATCTCCTGGTACTCCAGCTAGCTTGCAATACTGCCTCTTGACTTGGTTAGAGTGTCAAATGAAAGCTATAACTATAGTTTAAACACACATTAATTAAACTATACATCATGAAAATTTTCAGTACTATATTTATATGTTTCGTTTGATTTCTTACTGTTATATTTTATCTCTACTTATAACAAACAAACAAAACTAAGAAATTAAATCTCCTTTTGGCCCTTCAGACCAGTTGTAGAATTGTTTTGCTTAATTACTGGGCATATCATTTATTCCCTGATCATTGAAAGCCAATTATAAACAAACCGAAAAGATATAATGGTTACACAGACTCTTCAAGGAAAGGAATTCTCTATTTTTAAAAAATTGAGGATTAGTTGTGGGACTCATATCACATCGAATTTCAATGATCTGAACCATTTATTTTTGAAGTTGTACTTCATAGATCATTCTTGTAAAATATTGGCCAAATCAGAAATATCTGAGGCATATAATTGAGTTCAAAAAAAATGATGAACATTACGTTCTAAGAAACTAGTGAAATTTTATCGTAACAATTAAATAGGCAAATGGTTTCGGATTGAATTGAATTTTTGTAAGGATGATCTATGAATCGAGCACTAGTACAAAAACATGTTTGCGTGACGGAAACTTACGCGACGCAGCAAATTTCGTCGCGCAAACAATGTTTGCGCGACGCTAAACAGAAAACGTCGCGCAAACATTCTTTGCGCGACGACACTTTGAGCGACGCAGGTTGGCGTCGCGCAAAGCTGTTTTGCACGACGTAGATGTACCTTCGTCGCGCAAAACAACTTTGCGCGACGCCAGCCTTTGTCACTCAAAGTGTCGACTGCGTCGCGCAAGATTTTTGCGCCAAACCAAACTTTTTTCCCAACTTTGCGCGACGTAGGTGGCCTTACGTCGCGCAAAGTTTTTTTTTTTTTTTTTTGCCCTTTTTCTTTTCTTTTGGTGTTCTTGCATTGCATTTTTCTTTTGTGGTATCCACTTGTGTAAATGTTTTAAATTGACGATCGAATTAGTTCATGGTATTCATATAGGGTTAAAGAGTGTAGCTGTAAAAAAATCATCAAAATCGGAGTTAAAACTACCGTTAAATCGTGGTTTTTTGTTTATAACCGTTGAAAAGTTTTGTCTCGTTACTTGATCTCTGAATGTTTGTTTTTTGTGATTTTTGGCGTATGCGATCTCGAAGCATATACAAACAAGTTTGCCCTTTTGCTTTTCTTTTGGTGTTCTTGCATTGCATTTTTCTTTTGTGGTATCCACTTGTGTAAATGTTTTAAATTGACGATCGAATTAGTTCATGGTATTCATATAGGGTTAAGGAGTGTAGCTGTAAAAAAATAATCAAAATCGGAGTTAAAATAACCGTTAAATCGTGATTTTTTGTTTATCTCCGTCTAAAAGGTTTGTCCCGTTAGTTGATATTTGAATGTTTGTTTTTTGCGATTTTTGGCGTATGTGATCTCAAAGCATATACAAACAAGTTTGGCGGTTGGATCGTTTAAACTAGTTTCGTACAATACGTATCCCATCAAAACAATATATTCACTAATACTTTGAGTTTATTTATTCTTTCATTAAGTATAACATAAAATTTTGTGATATCCACTAGTGTAAATATTTTAAATTGACGATCAAATTAGTTCATTGTATTCATATAGGGTTAAGGAGTGTAGCTGTAAAAAATCATCAAAATTGGAGTTAAAACTACTGTTAAATCGTGGTTTTTTGTTTATAACCGTTGAAAAGTTTTATCTCGTTACTTGATCTCTGAATGTTTGTTTTTTGTGATTTTTGGCGTATGCGATCTCGAAGCATATACAAACAAGTTTGACAGTTGGATCGTTGGAACTAGTTTCGTACAATGCGTATCCCATCAAAACAATAGATTCACTAATACTTTGAGTCTATTTATACTTTCATTAAGTATAACATAAGATTTTGTGATATCCACTAGTGTAAATATTTTAAATTGACAATCGAATTTTTTCATTGTATTCATATAGGGTTAAGGAGTGTAGCTGTAAAAAATCATCAAAATCGGAGTTACAACTACCGTTAAATCGTGGTTTTTTGTTTATAACCGTTAAAAAGTTTTGTCTCGTTACTTGATCTCTGAATGTTTGTTTTTTGAAATTTTTGGCGTATGCGATCTCGAAGCATATACAAACAAGTTTGACAGTTGGATCGTTGGAACTAGTTTCGTACAATGCGTATCCCATCAAAACAATAGATTCACTAATACTTTGAGTCTATTTATACTTTCATTAAGTATAACATAAGATTTTGTGATATCCACTAGTGTAAATATTTTAAATTGACGATCGAATTTGTTCATTGTATTCATATAGGGTTAAGGAGTGTAGCTGTAAAAAATCATCAAAATCGGAGTTAAAACTACCGTTAAATCGTGGTTTTTTGTTTATAACCGTTGAAAAGTTTTGTCTCGTTACTTGATCTCTGAATGTTTTTTTTTTGTGATTTTTGGCGTATGCGATCTCGAAGCATATACAAACATTTTTTACGGTCGGATCGTTGGAACTTGTTTCGTACAATGCGTATCCCATCAAAACAATAGATTCACTAATACTTTGAGTTTATTTATACTTTCATTAAGTATAACATAAGATTTTGTGATATCCACTAGTATAAATATTTTAAATTGACAATCGATTTTTTTCATTGTATTCATATAGGGTTAAGGAGTGTAGCTGTAAAAAATCATCAAAATCAGAGTTAAAACTACCGTTAAATCGTGGTTTTTTGTTTATAACCGTTAAAAAGTTTTGTCTCGTTACTTGATCTCTGAATGTTTGTTTTTTGTGATTTTTGGCGTATGCGATCTCGAAGCATATACAAACAAGTTTGACAGTTGGATCGTAGGAACTAGTTTCGTACAATGCGTATCCCATCAAAACAATAGATTCACTAATACTTTGAGTTTATTTATACTTTCATTAAGTATAACATAAGATTTTGTGATATCCACTAGTGTAAATATTTTAAATTGACAATCGAATTTGTTCATTGTATTCATATAGGGTTAAGGAGTGTAGCTGTAAAAAATCATCAAAATCGGAGTTAAAACTACCGTTAAATCGTGGTTTTTTGTTTATAACCGTTGAAAAGTTTTATCCCGTTACTTGATATGTGCATGTTTGTTTTTTACGATTTTTGGCGTATGCGATCTCTAAACTTATACAAACAAGTTTGACGGTTGGATCTTTGAAACTAGTTTCATACAATGCGTTTCCCATCAAGTTCAATGGTATATATATTTACTAAGTAGATTTTAATTTATTTATTTTTTACTTATAACACTTAAGAAATTGAATGATATATATGTAAAAAAAATTATTGTGGGTTTTTGTTAGAAAAATATATTATTGTGGAGTTTATGTAAAAAAAAAATTGAATTTGATAGGAGTAAAGTCACATTTTCAATAATTTTTATAATAATTTTTTTTTGAAAAATACCTTGCGCGACGCCTTAATGTGGTCGTCGCGCAAAACCACTTTGCGCGACGTCAAATTATATACCTACGTCGCGCCAGGTATCATAATTTTGGCAGTACAATAGTGAAAAATAGGCGTTTTTTTTTTCAATTTTCCAAGTTTGGACCCCAACTCTTTCTTTCCCTCTCGCTCATCTCTCCCTCTCTTTTCCGTAGACCTCTCTCTCCTCTTCGCAACCCTGAACCCCAAATCTTGAACCCAGACCTGTCTTTCCTCTTCACAATCTCGAATCCAACCACCACCACTACTCTAATTTTCAACCCAGCCGCTCTTTCTCTCCCCTCCCTGAGCTCAAATCCTCGCCTCCCTAACCCTTTCTATGGGATCGACGGCTCGGTGTGGGATTTGGTGAGGGGAAGGCATGCGGCTTACATAGAGGAGGGGAGATAGAGGGCGAGGGAGAGAGAGAGAGAGTGATTCGGTGAAGGGAAGACTGCGGCTTGCAGAGAGGAGGGAGGGAGGGAGGAGAAGACGAAAAGCAACTGCAGCAAGTTCATGGACAGGGTCGCAGCA